GCAAATACTGGTAAGATCTCAGGTTCTGTAGATTTAAACAAGGAAATGATGTCATCCATATCTCGAGATTCTTTTCCCTTTTTTTTTTCGCTGTATTTGTCGGCGATCTGCCGGAAGTGCACTAAACAATAATGATTTCGAGTTACTAATTTCTTCACTCGTAAATGCCGACACACAAATTTTAACTAACGACACTTCATCCATTATCGATATTTTATTTTGGATATACGATAATAGCTCATCTAAAACAATGTTGCAAACATTACATTTCACAACGTCCGTCATATTTGTAAGAACGAAATTAATACGTCGCTGCGATAGCTCCGTAACGAAATCACACAACAAACAAATTATAATAATAGCAAATTGTTAACACAGCAAGGTTGCTAAAACGAGTCGGCGAAAGGTCTCTATGGAGTTGCTGAAAATGTTTGATTTTACAATTAGCTTTTTTGCTGTCATATGACTTTGAGCGTGTTTAAAATATGTTCCTTAAAAGCATTAAGAACATTATATTATAAAACATGAGATCTGAATAGAACCGGTGGCTGTAAATAAATATTACTTTGAAAGATTGAAATAAGGCATGAACCGTAAGAGCCCATTACTCGGGTATTTTTTCAAGCCTGTAGTAACTCTGTAATCACAGAGATTGACTGGGTTGACGCAAGATGAATCTACATAGAGGTTTTATATAAATACAAACAATAATATATTTATTTATAAGGGTGAAATTGTCAATATTGTGATTGCAAAGTGCTCGGGCGCCGAGAAGATCTAATAAGAGTCTGTTAGTCTGTGTTTAACTGCTCTTTACGGCTCATTAAAAGTAGAATGATACTCTAAGTAAATAGATACTCCAGGACAAAATTACAAAAATACTTGAACTCTCAGGAAACATAAGGCGCTACGGATATTGTTCAAGTTTTTCGATCATCAGAAAATTCAATATCCGTGCTTATTAATTTAATTTAAACAATGTTTATTTTTATATAGAATTTTTCTTTACAGACATGTCTTTTTTCAATGAAAGAAAATTCGTTATGCAACCGAAACGATAACTATGCATAACCTACTAAAAACCTACGGTGTAACATAGATGGTGGGATAGCGGAGCATTTTTGCGTGATCCTTCCCTATTGCGATTTAAAAGCGACGGCATTTATGCATTTTCAGATATCTTCTGTCGAGAAATGGAGGTGAGCTTAGAAGGCTAACTAGTATCTAAAGAAAACATATTAATGTTACAAATGCCTTTCTGGGATGGTTGGGTTTCAAGTTTTCATATACATATTTCTATATATGATATTTGTTGAGATTGCATCGAGCCGGAATGTTTTTTAACTTGAAAGCTGAATATTCTAAAGCTTTTAATTTCGATCTCAGCATTAATCATCCCACTAATAGTATAAACGGCAATGTTTATGTACCTATACAAATCACACAGTAAATATAATATACATTCTACAAATTTTAATGATATTGTAAAATTTGGCCAAAATATTTAGTTGTAGGTAAGTCGGCGAAAATTCTTCGTTACACGAATATCGTGGCTTCCTCCGTATCTCCTAACGGATTACATTTCCACAAACTATATTATATTTCCTAAATAGTTTACACAAATGTTCATGACAGCATAAGTGTATATTTTGTACATGTAAGCCATTTTCGCTAAAAAGATAATAGAATATACAAAAAAGTTTGTTGATTACCTAACTGCACATTTTCTAGAAACAAAACATGGTACGAGAAAATCAACTTCGCACCGACGAAGTCGCGAGTAGAAGCTATAGAATACTTTTATTGATTGTAATTTATATCATCATGATGCTGATCCGTTTTACTACTTGTAACTACTGCTAATTTATAAGTAATCAGAAGCCTACAGCTCTAAAAATGTATAATATATAATATATGTACAACACGTAATTGCACCTTTAAATACTTATTAGGTTTAATAATCATTATATATTAATTTAGTTTTTATATTGTTTTGGTTTAAAAAAAAAAATGCTACGTTATCAATAACAGAATAAGTTTATTTCTTAAATATATTTAAACATTAAAGTCCAGCCGCGACGGGCGATAATAAGAGCAATTCGGCATAACCTTAGGTGACCTAAGATGGTACCTGCGAACGCCAGTCTGACTATAAAATAAAACCAGACCATAATTAAGAAAAATAAAGGATCCAAAATTATTTAAAACTCATTTACGTGAATAGGTCTGCAAGGGTGATGCTGAGTCATACAACTGAGTTTTAATAATTATCACATGTATATTATACCTAGGATATTCATATAGTTATTTGATTTAATTTTCATGACAATTAATTTCATGAAAATCGTCAGTGCTGGAGGATGCCCTAACAATTGAAGTTTTTGGGTTTATATTTTTGGCTAGCCGAATAAGGAGGAATATACCGGTAAAGTGCAAACAAATAATGATAATATTTTTTGTATATGAAAAAAACGAAGAGTCTACAACTGCGAGACATGCCTGTGCATAAAATCGCAATTTCACGTCGCACTTTGCCACTAACACTGCACCAGGATGACGTAAAAGGGCCATCCCCAATAAATACAGCACTCTGAAAAGGTAATTACACTTTATTACAAGGAAAACAAGCCTATTTAGTATTTGTTAATTCCTATTATATCCGTAACCAGTAGGTAAACGATAATTGTTGTTTTACTGTAGATAAATAACTGCTAAAATTAATTGATTTCATTTTATGTATCTATATTTAATGTATGGCATGAGGCTCTCCTGATATTAAGTGATACCGCCGCCCATGGACACTCACATATTATTGTATAACTGTGTTACTTTTTATATCATTTTGTTAATTTATTGATGCACTTCTTGTGCTTTACCCTCAGCAAGTACTTATTTATTCATCCATACTAGAGTTGCCTGGAAGAAATAGCTTGTTAGCGCCACTCGTTGCCTAATAACTTATGTAACATGTTCTTCATATGTTTGTTTAAAGTAAATAAATAATTAACATATAATTCAGCAACTTATTTCTACGATAGAACCTCCCTCAAAGGACTAGCTATTTCATAATACGGGTTACTCACGAAACAACCGGTTCTGATGTATGCAATAATTTACAGACAATACCATCGTCGGTATACAGCCGATATCTTATTATAACTCATTGCAATATGGTTTCTAGTATACACTAACGAACCGTTTTTGTACTCTATGTGACCGAACACATATTAGGCAATAACTTCCCAAGAAATAATAGATAAGACACACTATGTCTATACTTAGTACCAGTGCCTAGAGAGCAATGGGGCGGGCCATCCTAAGAATCAAAAAGATACACCAAATATAAAGTGAACACAATCAGGGCGAAAACTAAGATCAAAGGCCCCTTATAGCTGAAATGAAAAGAGGCAGGCCATAAAAAAATACGACCCGCCGTAGCCACCCGCTGGTGTGGACCTCCGGAAAAAAGAAACATGGAAAGACCACATAAGAAATACTGACTACATCATAAAGGTTTCTGGGGAGAAATGGGTGGAGGAAGCAAAGATCAGGTCCAAATGAAAAGTTCAGGAGGAGGCCTTTACCCAATCGGGGTCTATACTTCAGAACACGCAGTAATGGAAAAAACAATAACTACGTAGACTAAGTATTTAATAACAAAACGAACCCATCTGATTTGTAATTTTTATAATATGGAATTGAAGTGGCTTTATTCTTATTTTAAAATAACATATATCACACACAGATAACATAGCATCGGATGTCCATCCCATCAGATGTTATGTTATCATGAATATGAACAGTTAAAACCTTAGGTTAAAATTGACGATACGATGTGAAAATATGATATTACAGAATTTTTAGTTAAAGTTATCTTACATTGAATTTCTATACACAAGTTATAATTACAATGTGGAAACAATAAAGTTCGATCCGATCCACCTGCATTGAAATCAATCACAAAACAGTCGTTCGACTCGGTCATTGTCAAATGTGTGTGTGAATATTTAATTACGGTTTGGCAAAAATACGTTGCACTTCAATGAGAGATCTAATTGCGTTAATAAATATTAAAATGGTTTGTAATTAGTAAGAGACCTGGACTCAATTGTTTTGAAATAATAATTGATATTAAAGTAAGCCGCAGAAGGTTGTTAGGGAGCGTTCAAGTATTACGTAACGAATTTTTTTCATTTTGTAAAACGTTACGATGCGGGGCGGTGATTGAATTACACGTTATTGTTAATATTATTTACGACTTACACCACATAATAGTAACTGAAGAGTCACTAGGTGGTCACGAAACGTTTTACTATACTTGGGTACTGAAAAACGTTACGGCGAGTTACATGGGGGACGGGGGGTCAATAATCTCCAAAAATTGCGTTACGTAATACTTGAACGCTCCCTTAAACATATTTTCGTTTTTAAGTAGTTTCATTAGTTTCTCCTTTTTTCTTGTAAAAGAAAACCAGTGGTGCTACAACCGTTTCAGGTCTGTATGTATTTCACGATTATTTGTCAAGTAGCAAGTAGACTGTGCTTGACATACGCCATCTACTTGGGTCTAAGGCAAGCCGGTTTCCTTACGATGTTTTCCTTCACTTAAATGCACACAGAAAGAGTCCATTGGTGTACAGTCGGGGATCGAACCTACGACCTCAAGGCTGAGTGTCGCACGCTGAAGCCACTAGGGCAACACTGCTTTCTCTTGTAATACTCTCTCTATATTGGGAACATAAAATATTATCTAAGTCTATAAAAGTTGTGACCTTAAAATGTTGTTAAGTAATACCGCCAAGTAGTGTATATAAAAATAATATAAACAGTAATTTCTTTGATTTATTACGCGATACGAATCTTATTCGTTACTAGCAAATATATTTTACTATTGAATGAAACAAATGTTACTAGTTTCTATAGTCGGTACTTCCAAAGAAAGTGTTCAGTGAGCTTTCATCTTCACAATACACATCGAAATTCACATCAAAACAGGTTTCTCATAAAGTGACATTTGATGCGTCTACACAACCGCCCCAAACCACAGAGCCACATCCAAATTTGTCATATTCCTGGACTGCTGCTGCACTGTATCGCTCGCCTGGGCGTCTGTAAACACGGAGACGACCATCGCAACGTGTTAGACGGAATCGTGATTCGTCAGTAAAAAGCACTGGCCTCCAATGTCGAAGTTGCCAATTAGCGTGATTTTTAGCTTGTCTATGTTGAATTGTTAGACGCACAGCCCGAACTGGTCGGCGTGATCTCAAATTGGCTTCCAACAACCTATTTCTTACCGTCTGGTCGGAAATTTCTACACCAGTAGCCGTCCTTAGTGTATTTTGTAGATCTCTTGCAGTTGTGGTGCGGTTACGTAAAGCACAGTTGACGATGTAGCGATCTTGCAAACGTGTAGTTTTTCTCTTTCGACCTTGACCACGCCTTCGTGAGTATTCTCCCGTCTCACGGTATCGCTTCCAAAGTCTGTAGATAACAGAAGGGGCTACTCCTAGATCATTTCCTACATAACGCATAGTTCGACCCTCTTCAAGCAAAGCGATAGCTCGGGAGACATGCAATTCAGTCAGATCTGGCATTATGACCTAAACTCACTCGTTTCAATGAATAACAATAATCAAAAGGCTCACTTCAATTTCTATTAATACTCAAAATATTGAAAAAAACTACTTAAAATGTGTTTTCTGTGATTAGAAAGTAATGAAAATTCAAAGACGTCACTTTGTTTTTCGTCTACAATGCACATTTTAATTTTTTTTTAATAAAAAAAATACAAATTGAATTTTTTTATTAATTGTAGTAATTAACAAGGTAAAAAAAAGCGTACAAGTTAATTTTAATCTAATTTTAGTTTAAGCAATAGAAAGAAGAAAAATCTTGTTCCGCTAATTGTTTTGAGCAGTATATATATTCGAAGCCTTTTTTCTTTTTTTTTCTAAGCGAACTTAAACTTTCAACTTAAACATTTAGACTTAAAGCTAGTTTCCATTTTAAAAGTACTACGAATAGTTCGTTCTTATTTATCGAAAAAATGGATTGGTGGACGAACAGGCACGCGCCATGCGCTCACGGACGTTGCTACGACGGGCACGCGTCGTACATGTGTCTATGTGAACCGGGTTTTTTTACAATTGATTGTTTCTTAAATCATAAAACTCTACTGGCATCCGCGTTATTTATAGCGCATTCATACTTAGTTAATATATGGGAACTTGGGATATATGAAATGTTTTTATACATGTCGTACATGTGTCTATGTGAACCGGGTTGGGGTGTTCGAAACTGTTCAGTTGTTCTACGAGGCTGTGCAGATTCACCCTGTGCTAATAGAGGCAACTGCCTTCCTTGGCTCGCCAATGAGACAGACCATCGCTTCAACTGCTCGTGTGCGCCGGGATTTTATGGGACCACGTGTGAAAAGGTAGATAACAATCTAAAAACACTAAACGTTTTTTTACAATTGATTGTTTCTTAAATCATAAAACTCTACTGGCATCCGCGTTATTTATAGCGCATTCATACTTAGTTAATATATGGGAACTTGGGATATATGAAATGTTTTTATATACTTTTTTTATACAATTGTTAGATTTGGGGAAAATGACATGAAAAATACCCGTGAAGGTTTCCAGCAAACATAGCAAACTTAACACTTTCAAGACAAACTTTATCGAAATACATTTCTTTTTTAAATTTCTATAATTTTACATCTTTGTACAACACTTTATTAGATACGATATGTACTATTAAATGTAATGTTATTTTTTCTCATATATCTTCTCTTATTTCTTATATACACATAAATGTGAAAGTTTAAACTAGATATAATTTTGTTAAGTAGTGTTGACCTAGTGACTGTGCACGAATGGACTTTCTTTCTATGTGCGTATTTAACATTCGCTCGAACGGTGAAGGAAAACATCGTGAGGAAACCGGCTTGCCTTAGACCCAAACAGTCGACGGCGTGTGTCAGGCACAGGAGGCTGAGGCTTACCTATTAGTTTGACAAATAATCACTAAACAGATACATAAATCTGACTACACCTAATAAGGTTGCAATGCCACTGATTTTGTAATATATAGTTTTGTTAATATACACTAAGCAGTAAATAAAAGTAAACCAAGAATCCTCTAGTCGTGAATGTCATAATTTTTTTCAAGTTAATAAAAATCCCTGCCTTTAGTATTTCCGAACCAATTCGTCTTCAAGAAAAGAGCTTACCAATTCTTAAAATGGCGGCAACGCCAGCCTTCCGCCAATGCGGCAGTATCACTTAATATTAGATGGGCCTCCTGAATTATTTTTGAATGATTGACACTAACTGTCCGTTAGTGAGAGGTAAGATCGGTTTTAGAGAAAGCATTGTGGGGTGCCTTTCTCGAACCTAATTTCGCTGTTTTGCTGATGATTTTTCTTTTTTTTCTGCTTTAAGTGCCAACAAATTTCTATAATTTTATTTTATTGTGTGCTTGTATTATCGTAAACGTTTTAATTGTATTTTTTAATTTCTATTTTTTTTGTGAAACTTATGTTTACATTATTTTAGATGTAAGATTTTGTAAAATAATTAGTAGATTTAGTACTGTGTGTGATGTCATAAGCTTAACAACTAAATAAATAAATAAATATTAAGAAATGTTAAAAAAAAAACTGACAATACTGACGAAATTCGATGCGTACACATTTTTTTAACGGGAAATATGATTCCCGTTTTTGACGTCATAGTCATAGTTTGAAGTTATACTTAGCGTTGTCTCGACTCTGCATATAACATTCAATTATACTAATTTCATTCAATTTGAATTACAATGTTATTTTTAAATAAGACATCTTGCATATTACAGATAACAACTATGTCTCTGGAAAAGAGTAGCTTTGTGGAAGTGAACACATCGCGTGAGGAAGGTTATGACATCTCTTTCCGGTTCAAAACAACCCTCGGAAATGGTCTATTGGCGATGGGTCGCGGTCTCACGTACTTCTTCTTGGAGTTGTCAAATGGACGACTGAATCTTCACTCCAGTCTATTGAATAAGTGGGAGGGAGTTTTCATTGGATCCAATTTAAATGATAGTAATTGGTAGAAGGTTAGTGAATCAAAATCATATTTATTGTGAAATCGTGGTTAGAAGGGCTGATAACATTTTTTTATTTACACATGTCAATTTGTATTTGTGTTTTTGTAATTAAACACCTCCTAAACGTCTGGACCGATTTAAATGAAACTTTAATTTTATGATTTAGATTTAATGATTAAGGTTAAGATCAAAAATTTTATGATTATTTTGTATTAAAAACGTATGTACATACAAAGAATTATGTCTTACAAATTGCGTACCTATTCCAGATAACTGGAAAACTGTATTAAAATGGCTTGACTTAGCAGCTAAACTTGCCGTTTAATACTTTTATTTAGTAAGATATATACATTTAAATTCAGGCTTAGCAAAAAATTTTCTACATATGTGCGTAATGAACAACTGTTTCCTTATAAATAAATAAATAAATTTTAGCCCAAAATTTATTCAATTATTATTAGTATAGCTTTTTATTTTATTTCCTGCCCCTTTCTCCATTGTTGTAACAGTAATTTAAATTTAAAACAAACAAATTATTTCAGGTTTTCGTAACAATCAACTCGTCACACGTGGTGCTATCCGCAAACGAGGAGCAAACAATATACCCGATTAGTCAGAATGAAGCCTTCAACGCTACGGTGACGTCATTTCCGTCGACACGGCTCGGTACGACGGGCTCTTCGTACGGAACGTTAACGCACGGACCGAATTTCTTCGTTGGATGCTTTCAGGATGTCGTCGTTAACCAACATTTGGTGAATATTTTTCTTTAAATGTTATCTAAAGTACTCCGATAGTGAATTGTATCTTATAAGAACTTGGAGAAACGGATCGTGGTTGGTAACACAGATGGCCGTCCACCAAATCATTGTCATCAAAACTATACATTGTCGTAAGAGAGGCGCTGGACTGAAACCAGTGGAAACAGATTATGATGATGCTTCCTTGCTGACCACGACGCTCAGACTTGAGCTGCCGATTGAAGAGTGAGAAAGGACTTTAATTGTAATGGGCCGTGCGATTGCAACGGTTATTATCAGTCCCGGTCATAGTTCAAGTTAGGGAGTTATTAAAAAAAAGTGCGTACAAAGTACACATGTCAGAAGTGAAATTTCTTTGGAAAACTAATTTTTAACTCTTGTTCATATTTGTACAAATCTAAAACTTTAGATATCCGAGACTAGAAAGTGTCGAAAATTTATACAAATAATAAATTTAATTTTTTAAATTTACTTCTTTTATAATAAAAACACATGGCATTTTAATTTACAATTCGTCATTTGAGATTTCAATAAATTATTTTGCATAAAATATAAAATACTCACATTTCATAAATTCTCCTTACGAAATTTTAATTTTAAAAATAGAATTTCACTTCTATTTCACTCAATCGGTCTCAATCGCTCTCTCCCTTTTCTTCGACAAAAACGCTGCACATCTTCGTCACGTTCTGTAAAAATTTTACCCTCATGCGCCTAAAGAAAGAAGTTTCACTTCAAAAATCATTAGTGTTCTGCCTGGGGTAGGACTGTACGGAGCCGAGTGGTTTAACCCAACATGGAAGGCATGGTCGGATTTTTAGGGGCCAGCGGAGCCCTGCATTGGAGACCGTAGTCAAAGATGTATCAATATTCTTTATCTATGTAATCTGTTTTGGCTTTCTATATTGTCTGTGTTTTGTTTTATAAGTGATTGTGTGATTTCTCCGTTTCTTTCTTTCCATAGAAGAATGCAAATTGATAGCTACAATTCTACTTAGAGCTTGTAAAACACTATAAAATCAACTTATTTAATGGTTTTAAATGTTTTCAGGTACTTCCAGAAGATTCGAATACAACTGTACCCGAATTCAGCACGGAACGTGTGGGGTCAGATTGGGGTAAGAAAGAGACAGAGGAGATAGAAACAGAAATGGATCCCGAGGGTTAAGAAGATGAAGGTCCTAGGGTGGTGTTGAGAGGAGTTCTTGCGTCCTGCCCCCGAACCCCGCAGTGCGAGCCTAACCCATGTCACTCTGGGGGCCATTGCAAAGACCACTTTCGTGTGTTCATGCCCCCGGCCGTATTTGGGACATACTTGCCAGTATAGTGAGTTTCATTTATAAATTTTTAATAAATTCATTCACTTTAACAAATTCCCGCAATTTTTGGAGATTATTGACAGACCGCTGCCCCCCTCCCCCATGAAACGCGCCTTAACGTTTTTCTGTACCTAAGTACAGCTATCATCTAGTGACTCTTTATACCTTCAAGATACCATTATGTATAACGATAACGCGTAATTCCCCGCCCCGTATCGTAACGTTTTACAAAAGGAACCCCCCCTCCCAAAATTCGTTACGTAATTCTTGAACGCTCCCTAAGCCGTATTTTAAAGTTTTGGTAAAAGTTATTTTATAAGCGCTATTCCTCTCAGTTACAAAGAAATGTATATATATTTCATTTACATCTAAGTCGATATAATATAAATTAATATTTTTAACCTTCTTAAAGATTACACTGCGGCAACGTTCGGGCAAGAGTCCGCCCGACGCCACTCAGTGGTAGTGGTGAACGTGTCGGAGGCAGCTCGACGCGCAGTGCACGCGGCACTCGACATCTCCATGTTTGTGCGCACGCGCAAGCCAACGGGGCAGATATTCCATCTCGGATCCGGCGCTAGCAGGTACAGAGATAATGTTTCCTTCAGCAAGAATATATAAGAATATATAAGATGATTCATTAATAGATGTTTTTGTGTTTGGTTTAGATTCGCATGGCATTATTTTAATAGCTCTGAAGGGAGAATAACTGCTATCGATTCTTGACATTTATAAAGTTAAATAAATTTATTTGAACTGACGATTAGTCTTGTTTGGCAAAAACAATTATTTTTATTAGCCGCCGTAAAAAAGTGAGGGTCAGGAGGTATTAGTATTTTCAAAAATTCGAAAACATAGATTTAGATATTTTTTATTTTGATCGGAAATATTCAGACTGTTACAGTTAGAATAATATATGTAAGTAATTTTTACCGACACTGAAATCGGTAATCTAAGTCCTTATAATTGATTGACAATTAGGCGAGCTGAGGAGCTGCAGTGTTAGTGGCAAAGTGCGACGTGAAATTGCGATTTTATGCACATGCATGTCTCGCAGTTGTAGACTCTTCGTTTTTTTCATATACAAAAAATATTATCATTATTTGTTTGCACTTTACCGGTATATTCCTCCTTATTCGGCTAGCCAAAAATATAAACCCAAAAACTTCAATTGTTAGGGCATCCTCCAGCACTGACGATTTTCATGAAATTAATTGTCATGAAAATTAAATCAAATAACTATATGAATATCCTAGGTATAATATACATGTGATAATTATTAAAACTCAGTTGTATGACTCAGCATCACCCTTGCAGACCTATTCACGTAAATGAGTTTTAAATAATTTTGGATCCTTTATTTTTCTTAATTATGGTCTGGTTTTATTTTATAGTCAGACTGGCGTTCGCAGGTACCATCTTAGGTCACCTAAGGTTATGCCGAATTGCTCTTATTATCGCCCGTCGCGGCTGGACTTTAATGTTTAAATATATTTAAGAAATAAACTTATTCTGTTATTGATAACGTAGCATTTTTTTTTTTTAAACCAAAACAATATAAAAACTAAATTAATATATAATGATTATTAAACCTAATAAGTATTTAAAGGTGCAATTACGTGTTGTACATATATTATATATTATACATTTTTAGAGCTGTAGGCTTCTGATTACTTATAAATTAGCAGTAGTTACAAGTAGTAAAACGGATCAGCATCATGATGATATAAATTACAATCAATAAAAGTATTCTATAGCTTCTACTCGCGACTTCGTCGGTGCGAAGTTGATTTTCTCGTACCATGTTTTGTTTCTGGAAAATGTGCAGTTAGGTAATCAACAAACTTTTTGTATATTCTATTATCTTTTTAGCGAAAATGGCTTACATGTACAAAATATACACTTATGCTGTCATGAACATTTGTGTAAACTATTTAGGAAATATAATATAGTTTGTGGAAATGTAATCCGTTAGGAGATACGGAGGAAGCCACGATATTCGTGTAACGAAGAATTTTCGCCGACTTACCTACAACTAAATATTTTGGCCAAATTTTACAATATCATTAAAATTTGTAGAATGTATATTATATTTACTGTGTGATTTGTATAGGTACATAAACATTGCCGTTTATACTATTAGTGGGATGATTAATGCTGAGATCGAAATTAAAAGCTTTAGAATATTCAGCTTTCAAGTTAAAAAACATTCCGGCTCGATGCAATCTCAACAAATATCATATATAGAAATATGTATATGAAAACTTGAAACCCAACCATCCCAGAAAGGCATTTGTAACATTAATATGTTTTCTTTAGATACTAGTTAGCCTTCTAAGCTCACCTCCATTTCTCGACAGAAGATATCTGAAAATGCATAAATGCCGTCGCTTTTAAATCGCAATAGGGAAGGATCACGCAAAAATGCTCCGCTATCCCACCATCTATGTTACACCGTAGGTTTTTAGTAGGTTATGCATAGTTATCGTTTCGGTTGCATAACGAATTTTCTTTCATTGAAAAAAGACATGTCTGTAAAGAAAAATTCTATATAAAAATAAACATTGTTTAAATTAAATTAATAAGCACGGATATTGAATTTTCTGATGATCGAAAAACTTGAACAATATCCGTAGCGCCTTATGTTTCCTGAGAGTTCAAGTATTTTTGTAATTTTGTCCTGGAGTATCTATTTACTTAGAGTATCATTCTACTTTTAATGAGCCGTAAAGAGCAGTTAAACACAGACTAACAGACTCTTATTAGATCTTCTCGGCGCCCGAGCACTTTGCAATCACAATATTGACAATTTCACCCTTATAAATAAATATATTATTGTTTGTATTTATATAAAACCTCTATGTAGATTCATCTTGCGTCAACCCAGTCAATCTCTGTGATTACAGAGTTACTACAGGCTTGAAAAAATACCCGAGTAATGGGCTCTTACGGTTCATGCCTTATTTCAATCTTTCAAAGTAATATTTATTTACAGCCACCGGTTCTATTCAGATCTCATGTTTTATAATATAATGTTCTTAATGCTTTTAAGGAACATATTTTAAACACGCTCAAAGTCATATGACAGCAAAAAAGCTAATTGTAAAATCAAACATTTTCAGCAACTCCATAGAGACCTTTCGCCGACTCGTTTTAGCAACCTTGCTGTGTTAACAATTTGCTATTATTATAATTTGTTTGTTGTGTGATTTCGTTACGGAGCTATCGCAGCGACGTATTAATTTCGTTCTTACAAATATGACGGACGTTGTGAAATGTAATGTTTGCAACATTGTTTTAGATGAGCTATTATCGTATATCCAAAATAAAATATCGATAATGGATGAAGTGTCGTTAGTTAAAATTTGTGTGTCGGCATTTACGAGTGAAGAAATTAGTAACTCGAAATCATTATTGTTTAGTGCACTTCCGGCAGATCGCCGACAAATACAGCGAAAAAAAAAGGGAAAAGAATCTCGAGATATGGATGACATCATTTCCTTGTTTAAATCTACAGAACCTGAGATCTTACCAGTATTTGCTGCAAGACAACTGGAAAAACTACCTCCTATTACATTTGATCATCTTGACTGCACGAAATTATTGAAGGATTTAACAAGAATGTCAGCGGAGATCGAGACTATTAAAAATAACTATGCTACTCTAAACCACTTAGAAGATTTAAAGCAAGACGTTAATAGATTGAAACACACGTCGATAGCTACCACGCCGTGTCACAATATAAACAATCGACGTGGTGCATGGGCTAGAAATGGTGGCCCTAGAGATCCATCGCAGAGCATTAACTCGTCATTAAATGACTCGCACAATTCAATTAACTCCAATTGTGAGTCAAACAATAAAGACCCACTTTATCGAAGCATCAGTGAGGGTAGTGTGGTTCGCGAAAACATGCATTCGTCGATTATGTCGGCCGAGACCGGTATTATGACTCATACCATGACGACAGGGGCGACGGTGAATGCGGAGGCTTCAGCGGAGACAAGCGTAACTCAACAAATGAGCTCTGGACAACTGATCGAGACGGTTTTTCCAGTTGATAATATCGAGCCCACGGATGGTGCGTGGCAAACCGTTACGAGACGTAAAACAAAATGTAAACAACGTTTTGCAGGAATGACGGGTCAAGCCAGTGACGGTGTTAATTTCAAGGCGGCGGAAAGGTTTATACCTATTTTTATAAGCAATGTACATAAAGATACGGTTGAATCGGATATCATAGATTATGTTCTCAAGAAAACTCAAGTGAATATATCGCTAAAAAAAATATCAATTAAAAGACATAACAACCATTTAGCGTACAAGTTCATGATACCTGAGGACAATTTGTCATTATTTTTAGATGATAAACTCTGGCCTAAAGGAATTATTTTTAGGCGCTTTGTACATTATAAAAATCGCCATATTATAAATGAAACAAATATGAATTCCGGCCTTGTAAATGTAAACAATGGATAACGGTGTATACGCAATGACAACATTTAATTGTAAAAATATTAAACGATCCTTAGAGTGTATCAGGGATTTATGTCGTCACTCAGACATCATAGCTCTTCAGGAAACATGGTTGCTACCGAGTGAAATCTCATATCTTGGCAGTATTGAGGCGGACTTCGGGTACACGGGAACATCAGCGATGGACACATCAGAGGGAATGCTGCGGGGGAGGCCCTATGGAGGGGTGGCCCTGCTGTGGAGGAGGAGTGTGTTCAATAATGTGATAATGTTACCGTGTAATAATTCTCGAGTTTGTGCAATAAAAATAATAACGAGTGATCGACCCATAATCGTAGTGTGTGTGTACATGCCTACGGACTCGCAGGACAACTTGCCAGTGTTTTCGGACTGTCTAAGTGTGGTGAGTGCTATTGTTGATGAGTATGGCATAGAATCTGTTTACATACTAGGGGATTTTAATGCGCATCCGTACTCGATATTTTACTATGAACTTTTAAATTATTGTTATGATCAAAGGTGGTCATGTATAGATGTTGAGTTGCTCGGACCGCACTCTGACACTTATACTTTTGTTAGTGAGGCTCACGGATCACGGAGGTGGCTCGATCATTGTTTAGTGACAGACGCGGCTCGCCATTCAATATCAAAAGTGTATATTATGTATGATGTGTTGTGGTCAGATCATTACCCGCTTATACTTCATTTTAATATTAAGATTATTAGTAAAAAGTTGTCCTCTATACAAAGTAACTCTGTAAACAATAACGTACGTTGGGGTCAAAGATCCGAGGAAGAAATATTGTTATATCAAAGTGAATGTAACAAGAGGTTAAAATCAATAGATTTTCCAGAGATATTTACGGATTGCGCAGGTTGTTATTGTGATAGACCTAATCATCAAGGTGCAATTGATATATTATATAACAATATTGTTATTTCTCTTAGTGAGGCAGCCGTGACTAGTCGGAAATACCCTAATAAAAATAAAATTAATGATAGAAATCAAAATATTATAGGTTGGAACAAACATGTGAAGCCGGCGCACTCGGAAGCGAGGCTGAGGTTTAGGATTTGGTTACTTCATGGGAAACCAGAATCAGGGAGGGTTTATAATGACATGTGTGAAAGCAGAAAAATATTTA